GGAGAAGAACTTCTATTCCTTTGCACTGCCAATCCGTTCCAGCTTCATCCAGTCCTTGCACCAGCACCATGTCAGACTCAGGTTAGTGTTAAACGTGTTATGGCTTTATGAAATTAACAAAGCAAACCAAACAAGCCCGAAATCTTTTTCAATCAGGGCTTTATAGTAAGGTTTTGTTTCAATTAGCGTGCTATAGTTTTGTTTTCTTCCAAGGCTATGCCTTAATGTTTCAACCTAACATTTTCATCAAATTAATTTCACAAATTCTGTAGTTTGTCTTTGATTGTGAAAAATTAAAACTACCTGAACCTAATTTAAAAAAGCATACAAACTACCTAGATTAAATTGATCATTTTTCTTAATCCCCTAACAAAAGCATAGGAACATAAATTCAAACTACTCTAATTTACAGCGAAGAAAATCATTCTTCAATGTCAAAGAACATACACGTCGCTCTAATCAACTGGTTTACCCCGCAGTGCAGAAAGAACATGCATACTACTCTAATCAACTAATTTAAGTCGCATGTGCAAAAAGAACAGACACACTACTCTAATGAACTAATCTACACCACATTTTCAAAAACGGAACACTTGTTTTAGGGGGCCAACATTCCATTATCTTATATGTTTCCATACCAAGACTGACAATAAGATGTAACATAGATTTCTCCACCACCATCAACAACATATTCAGCACTTCACATGCTCTCTCATAGGCCCAGTCCCCATTACATGCTGTCCTACCGTGGCACCTTCCAGTTTGACCTGACGTGAGCAATTACCCAATGCGGCCGACTTTTACTTAAAAGATCCTCATTCAACCTACGTGGCACCTCCTCACTCGGTCGACTGCCAGCCAACGAACCAACTTCCCTTCACTAACGTCATGCCACGTGCGCTATAGAAAAGCGCCTAGATCTTTAACGGTACAATATAAAAAGCTTGACAGCTTTTTTTTTCTTTCTTGTTGCTTCCAGGATGCCACGTGGCAATGAGGGTCGGCCTCCACCTCGTTGGTACCCATACGTCTCTTTCTATTGGTCGTCCCCACCGAGCTTAATGTGGTCTAATCCACACAAGACTCCAACCAAGCCCTTCCTTGAAGAGTAGTTGAAGGCATTGGGCCCCTTGTTCCCTGACACACCCTATCATAATTTTACGAGGAAGTTTTAGAATGCTTGCCACCATATAATAATCCCATGCTCCTGCTTATATCTCACCCTTAAACCTAGAAGAAATCTTTGATCATGGGTTTAGTTTTTTTTTCCTTTTTTTTTTTTTTCCAAATTTTACTTTGTGCATGTGATGGGCAACTTTCACAAAAGAAGGATAAATCAACTTCTCATTTTAGGATTTTAGAATTATCAATTACGATGTAATTAATGTAATGCAATCAAAATTAACTGGATAGCTTACGTTTTATTACATAAGTGAAATAACTAAACATTTTTTTTTCTTTTAAGTAAAAAAAGAAAGAAAAATTAGAGGAAAGTAAGCGGTAATCTAATTTACGGGTAAGAATTTAAGATAGTTTTTAGTTTTTTTTTTTTTTTGGGGGTATAATACAAGTGGTAATCTATATTACTTTAAATTACATTATTAATCTATGGGAAATATAATTTGGACTTGGGTGTAAAGGACTGGCTCACTGCCATGACCAACTTATCTAAAGTTTTATGTATATTCTATCTTATTTCTAAATAAATAATTAAATACAAAAAAAACAGGGGGACATAAACTGTAAATGGAGAGCCATCATAATACCAATATGGCAGACATGGCTAAAACTTCACCAGTTACATGAGCCATCTTATAAAGCTGAAAATATCCATAATTGAAAATAACTTTTCTAGATCCCCTTTCAACCATCATAATTTTAACCCCAATCTAGTCCAATGATATTAACAACAGAAACTAGCCACTAGTCGGCATGTCTCTCCTAAAGAGACTAAGAACTTCCAGCAAACTCAACTAAGTTACTAGAATGATAAAAGAAAAACACAAAAAACTCGGAGTTTCTAGACTTTATTGAATAGACCAAACCAAAATAATAATCTAAAAAACTAAGATAACATCAGTAAAAGGAAAATCAATAGCCGCTAATCTTCATTCATGACATGACATTGAGACTGTCACCTAATTACTCCAAGGCCTCAAACGCACCAATGAGCAGTGGATCTACCATGACCAAACCACAACACCTCAAACAACAGCCTCACAAGATGAGGCAAAACTAAAGCAATGAGACAATAGATATGCCAAGAGAAAAGTAGATCAACATAAATCCACCGAAACCCAAAAAACATTGAAGATCTGACAGGATTTGGAGGAAACCCCGAATATGAAGCTTTCACTCTCTTTTTTCTTTCCAACGATTTCTTATAAATGAACAAGAGGAAGAAAAACAAAGAATCTTAATGTTGTCCCATTCATGCATGTACATGAATTACTTGAATATTTATTGTGGCTAAGGTTTGATGGATGAGACATGAATTCAAATTTTGGACATTTTTCAACAATATTGAGTGATAAGTATCACTAGACTAAAAGGTAATTAGTATTGTAATTAGGTTTAACTTGTAGTATTTTTTTTTATTTAATTAAAAAACACAATAGAATTTTATAAGATCAATAAGAATAAAAAGTACAAATGACACAAACTGTAAAGGGAGCCATTCCAAAAACAATATGGTAATTATGGGTAAAACTTCCCAATGACCTAATCTAGTCGAAAAGCTAAAACCATCTCGAGACCCCTTTCAACCGCTATAATTTTTCCGAATCTAGTCCAATAACATCAAAGATAAAAACTAGTTGTTAACCCGCATGACTCTTTTAAAGAGACCAAAAAGTGGTCTCGCAAGATGAGGCACAACCAAAGCCAGTCCAGATATGAGATAATAGATATGTCAAAAGAAAAGTAGATCGACATAGATCCCCCAAAACCTAAAGAACACCAAAGATCCGATAAGATCTGGGGGGGAAAACCACACAGATCTGAAGCATTCACTCTCTTAACGGCTAATATTTTTGTTGAGAATTTCGTTCAAACTGGCTAATGTTGAATAAACTGAACAGTAAATATAGAATGTAATAAATGGTTATCTTGAACTTAAATTGGTCTAGGTCGGATATTTTAAGCTGTGAAAGATTTTCCAACTATAAAAAGTTGTGTGGTTTATCTTGTAGTATGATTACATGTATGTAGTCCTATTAATTCCCTTTGAAAAAATTCAAGGAACAGTTGTATCAATCAAATCTTGAATCATTTTTACGATGGCATCAATTCATAAACAGTTTCAACTCGTGATAGCATTAATCATTTGGATATTTCTTTGTTATTGTTTCCGAAACAATAGTAATAACGATAATAAATCCAATTCCATAGACAAAAAACCAACCGAAACCAGGCAAAACCCGGTAGAAATAATTGGCCACAACCCCATAAATGATTCCCATAACAAAAAACTTGTCCAAACTTTCATCAACATCAACCAATCACAATCCGCATCGTGCCATGCACATAGAATCAAAACCATGCACCTCACAAACACCTTATAAAGACCCTCTCCCACCCCCATCGCATAATTAATTCCCCCCAAATCCACCTCCTTCCAGTCTTCTCCCCTTCTTCTTCCTTAATCTTCAACTCCCTCCTAACGGTCAACGCCGGTCAAAACCCATGACCACCTACGGCACGATCCCGACCTCGTCGTCTACGCAGGGCCCCTCCGGCGAGTACATCTCGCGCGCCAAGGAGCGCATCAAGGCCGGCCTCGGCGCTCGCCGGCCATGGAAGCTCATGTTCAACTTCAGATCCTTCAACTTCCCGTCGCCGTTCCGCGAGGTCTTCGGGCGAATCCGATCGAACGTCGCCTACTTCCGGATGAACTACGCGATCGTGATGCTGCTGATCCTCTTCCTCAGCCTCCTCTGGCATCCGATCTCGCTAATCGTGTTCATCATCATGATGGCCGCCTGGCTCTTCCTCTACTTCCTCCGCGACGAGCCCCTCGTGCTCTTCGGCAAAACGGTGGACGATCGAGTCGTTTTGATCGTCTTGGCGGTGGTCACGATCGTGCTCTTGTTCTTGACCCACGCGACGGTGAATATTTTGGTGGCGCTGTTGATTGGGGTTGTGTTGGTGGTCGTGCACGCGGGGTTGAGAAAGACGGATGATTTGTTTGTGGATGAGGAGAACTCTGGCTTGTTGACGACCCCTGCCGCATCTTCTTCATCTACTTAATTCAATCCAATTCAATTCTCTGTTTTTTTCTTTTTTCTTTTTTCCTTCTGTTTTGTAATTTTGGGTTTTGATGATTGATGATTGAAGTTATTGTTATCTGCCACTCCGCCCCTAATTTGTTCTTTGGTGATCAATCTAGTGAAGTTAATAATTTTTTTTCTTAAATGTTCAATAGAAGAGCGGGAATTCGAACACAGAACCTCCGTAACTTGAGCTACAAGCACTTAGGGTTTTTGGGTTTAGGGATCTCTTTTGGTGGAATGGGGGATGTGGTTTGGAAAATGTTGGTCCAAATCTTTTTAATCTGAAGTCAAATTCAGATTTAAGTGGGATTTGTTGTGCGGAGTGACTTGGCAGTGGTCACTGTGGATTGGGTGAAATTTTGAGGAGATCATATGATTTGGAAGGAAAAACACCTGAGAAACTGCAAATGTATTGAAACTCGGAAAATTCGGCGTAGTAATGAAGTGAAAATTTTACCCATTTGCTTTAATTTCACTCATGTCTTTGAGTTTTGGGTTTGTTTGGCTTTTGGTTGTATTTTCCCATTGTCGCACTTTGATTGGTTGTTGCGTGCTATTTGGTGGGTCGGACGGTTCGTTTCTGGCAATGAATTCCTTCTCCGACCCAAAAAAAAAGAAGAAAGAAGATAAAATGAAAAATTGAATCGCTAAAATATTTAAACCAATTGTAACACAAAAAATGGCTGAATCATAAAAGACAAAATATACAATTGCCCTTACAAGAAGTTTGTAGCTTAAATAATTAAGTGTAGTTGCTCATATAGTGAGGTCTTATTATAATTTGCATACAAAGAAAATGCTATTGGCCTTGATTTAATTGCCAAAATCTCAAATTTGACCTTATAGACAAATATGATTAACTACAGCTACTTTTTTTTTTTTTAATAACATGCGAGGGTTTTTTTTTTCTTTTTTTCAGTTAAGTATCATGAGGTGTTCGAACCAGCTTATAACATCTCATATATAAAGATAAATTTTAACAACTCAAGTTATAAGTTTTTTTTGTTAAAGTTAATTTTGATTAACCAAAGTAAAAATGTAAATTATTGGCAAAAACAAAAGTAAAATTGTAAATTAGAATCGAAGAGGAGGAGAAGAAAAAAAAACCAAAACGCAAATTTGTTTGGCGTTGAGTTTTTTCTTCATGTCTATTCACTCGAACTCCCAAATTGTAATTTTACCTAAACCCCGCGCACAAACCTCAGTCCAGAGTTCGGATATCAGAGAACGACCTCCTCCTCCTCCACGACCACCGCGACTGGCCCCCACTTACTCTCTCACTCTTCAATTTCCACCGCCCGTTTTCTCTGGCCGCAACGAAATGGCTCATCCGCCGCACGATCCCTACTACCTGCAGCAGCAACCACCGCTGCCGCCACAGCAACAGGATTACAGTGACCGGAGTGTGATCAACACGCTCTTCGTCTCAGGCCTCCCCGACGACGTCAAGGCGCGTGAGATTCACAACCTCTTCCGCCGTCGCCCTGGCTTCGACTCTTGCCAGCTCAAGTACACCGGCCGCGGCAACCAGGTGAAAAAAGCTTTTCCCTTTTCCCCCTTTTCTTTTTGTTTATATTTGTGTTTGGTTCCCGAGGAAAAAAAAATGTAAACCTTCTTCTAAATTCGTTTCAGGTCGTTGCTTTTGCTACGTTTTTCAATCACCAATCAGCAATGGCAGCTCTGCATTCGTTAAATGTGAGCAAAAATAACAACTTCAATTTGTTGATACATTTATATATGCATTTGCTTAATTCTTTGAGTAATTAAGCTCCCAAAAAGAAATTTGTTAACATGAATTTTCTCTGTAACAAGTATTTGTGTAATGCATATGTCATGTAGGGTTTGTTAGTGTTTTCCAATTCAATTAGTAACGTTCTGATAAACTTATTTAGGAGCTCGTTTTGATTTGTTCCTATTCGGATATTGTTGGTGAATGCCAAAGTTGGTAATCCGAAAGGAGGACTTTACTTGTACATTTCAATGATGACATTGCATGAAACTTGGGTTATAATTGGTGTTCCTTCTAAGTTTGTTTTTCCATTGATGGTCACATTATCAGGGTGTGAAATTTGATCCTCAAACTGGTTCCCTGCTGCATATTGAACTGGCCAGATCAAACTCAAGAAGGAAGCGTAAACCAGGTTGATATTTACATTTATTGCTGATTCAAATTAAAATTTTATATTGTTTCCTCTGAATCAATATAGAGAATTTGGTTACATTTTCAGATGGTTAATATACATGTCATTTGCACAGGTAGTGGAGCCTATGTTGTTATAGATAAAAGAACTAAAAAAGAGGCTGATACCCAAGAAACATCTAGCGATGATGGTAATGTGCTTTTTTCTTTTTGAATTTCTCTTTTGCCCCATCTCCGTAATGTTTTCCTGTGTCTGACTTGTGCATAATGACTTTCTTTTGCACATTCAGGAGACAGTGAAACTGATGAACCATCTGAAACTGAAAATAATGATTCTGGCGACAAGACTGAATTAGAGACTACAAAGAGGTTGAAAGAGCTCAAAAAATGCATTAATTTTATTAGATCACAGAATCGCATCTTGCACAGAAGTGCAAATATAATAGAGTTATTTTTAATCTACTGATAGGTGCTAAGGCTCTTTTCCTGTTTGGTTGTGTGCAGCGCTGAGACGGCAGTGGATTCTGACAATGCTGTAGCTACGGTAAATGTAAGTGAAATTTCGGATGATTCTTTAAATGCAAAGACTTATATTATTTTTTGTTGAGGACTATAGTGATATTTAGGCCTGGCAGAGTTCTATGTTATTTAGACTATTACTGCACACAAAAAATGATTCTTTCTTTCCTGCCTTTTTTGAATATTTAAGTGGAAACATACTGTCTAAAACCTTCCATTGTCTAACTTTTATAGTGCAAGATAAAAAAGTAAGCAGAAAGATACTAAAGATATGTTTTGTAGGAACAAATATTTTCTGTTTTTTTTTTCAGGGTTGTTTTCTTCTTAATGTATGTTTTCTAGTCTTTGCCAAAAGTCTGCTATACAATGTACTACAGAGTTTTTGGATTTGCAAAGCAAGTTTTTGATGTTTTTAACAACTTAGTTTTGATTTTTATGACATCTATACTTGAAAATTATTGAAACTTCACTTTGCAGACCTTTCTATGAGTGCCATGTGAATATATATTGGCAGAAATTCCATATGTAGGATTCTAAATGTAATTCTCTCCAATCTGGTTTCCAATTCACTGTGCAGGAGCAATCTGAAAAGCATGTTGATGGAGGACCATGTTCCACTCTGTTCATTGCAAATCTAGGTCCAAATTGCACTGAAGATGAACTGAAGCAAGTTCTATCTAAGTGAGTAGTTATTCTTCACCTGGATACTCTCACATTTCCTTGTAGATTTGGTCGAATACAACTCTTTTTTCCTGGCCCTCGTCTGACTATGTTTATACTTCTAGTACATAATCATCCTTTGAATAGATATTGGAAAAGTTGATGACGTCAATTGGTTCCAGGTACCCTGGATTCAATGTGATCAAATTGCGTGCTAAAGGTGGAATGCCAGTTGCATTTGCTGATTTTGAGGTACCCCATGCTCAATACTGACATTTTCTTCTTCAGTTATGAAGTTTGGGAGAAGAGATTTTAACTTGGGACCGGTGCACTCAGTGCTGGCAATTATAGATATTTTATATGTTACTCCAACAGGCTTTTATACATATAAGCAGTTTATTTTTCATGTCAGAATTGGCAGAAAGTATAGTATTTTTCCTTTACAGTACTTTATCACTTCAATTAAATGAAAACAAAATATGCGATCAAAGAGTCAGTTCAGTGACTTGTATTAGTTGGGGGTATGAGTTTCTACCAAGACAAACCAAAGTCTTGCAATGTCTGAGTTCCTTAACTTTATTCCACGCTGGCAGGAAATTGAACAAGCCAATAAGGCCATGGACGAACTTCGTGGCAGCTCGTTACCATCTTCAGACAGGGGTGGCATGCATATAGAGTATTTTCTCTCTTCTCTTATTTTATTATCCTTTGTTCAAAACTTATATCTTTAATAAGTGTTTCCTCCCTTCTCTAGATATGCAAGGTCTAAGATGAGGAAGTCGTAGGAGAAAAGGGACTGAGGTGACAATATTCAAGCAGTTTCATGCACATGTTGATTCCGACCGTACTGCATCTGATAGTTTTCTAAATCCATCTTGGCTATTACTGTACACCCAAGTCTTATATCAATTATGAGTTTCAAACTCCAACATTGTAAAGCTACAAAACATTCCTTTGTATTGAAATTTTTGCAGAATAGTTGTTGATGTTTGGGTAAAGACTTCGTTGTTATCTCATAAGAGTTATAAATTTGCAGTGGTGACTTGAACTTGCTCATGCTGTAGAATTGCAATTCATGTTTTGATTGTATACCAATCGTAGACTTCCATTACATCAGAGCTTCGTTTTGATTCAACCAAAAAGTTCTCGCTCTGGACCCGGTTAAAATGGTAATTTCCTTAGATTGCCAAAAAATTTACAAGACCTTGCTATTCTCTTCTTTTACTATACAGAAGTAAAATGCAGGTGGCATTAACCAAAATATAAGAGGAATATGGATTATATCACAAAAAGGAGCGCACGTATTTAGTCTTCCAAATATGTGTAATTCTAAAAGGCTAGCGCTTTACAAATGGTGCTCAGATGAAGTCCTCCTTGCCTTGTCCCTCTCCCAAAAACTGGGCCGTACATTCTCAAGAGAGAGCTTCCTATACCCTTCAATCGCTTCATCTAGTAGTGGACCACTATAGTGTTCCTTCTCCTGCTGCTGGTGCTGCTGTTGATGCTCTGACCAAATCCGACCACTCCGGCATCCCACATCATGACCATTCCGGCACCCCACATCATACCCGGGCGTTGATGCATAATTTGTGTCCATTACCATGTCACCTTCTAGCATACGCAAAACCTAGAACATGAAGCGAACACATGGCAAACAGACGAGATAAGTTGCCGATAAAGGTAGAAGTAAGTAGCACCAGATATTACTAAAACGAGTACCCAAACATGAGACATATTTTAAGACTTTGCCAAACCTTCTGAATATTGGGAAGTAAAAGTCCCTTCACAATATAACACCATTTCACTTTTTATCTTACTTCGTTTTACCATATTTTAAGTTTACCTTGACTACACAATTTTATGTATTTTAGGAATTGTTTATGAGCTTTCTTCACTTACAAGTGTCTGAAAAAGAGTAACAGTCTAATTATACTCAAATTGGGCTCTAGTGTTATGTTTAGCACATCAAGTCTAGTGTCAAGTATGACAAGTTGAGTTGTCTTCATTTCAGAAGTTGCTCTTTACCTGTGACATGCGCGGCCTAGATTGAGGATCCCGCCGAATGCATAGAGAGGCAGCATGCAGCATGCAATAAACCTCTTGTTCCGAATAGAAGTTGTCAAGTCTTGGGTCAATCAGTTCATCAATGGCGTATTCTTCCAATAACGGGCGTGCCTGTATTAAATAGAAAGTTATAAGTTATAAGCAATAAAATAGGGCAACAGCCTAGAAGAACTAAACGAGAAACCCTCAATAATCTGATTAATCAGTGTTATTGTAATACCAAAGTTTTTTTATGTTCAGGACAATTTTATGTAGATATGAAAAGTCTCACACTGAAACTAGAAGGCCAATAATTGGTAAACGTACATATAGTCAGAACTTGCTTAATCATACCCATTCTGTGAGGCATTGCTGCCCCTTAGGCCGGTTAAGGTCCACAGCTTTTCGCCCAGTAACAAGCTCCACCAACACCACCCCAAAGGAATAAACATCAGCCTTTTCTGTGATTTGACCACTTTGAGCATATTCAGGAGCCAAATATCTGCACCAGAGGGCAACTTATCAGATAATTGGACAGCAGCATATAACATAACTGGATGAAAGGTTAAATGGTATAAGTAAAGGCCGTTATTTAACATTTACCCAAATGTTCCAATAACTCTTGTGTCCACGCCTGTATCCCCATCAGGCTGCCACCTTGCAAGGCCAAAATCCCCAACCTTGCACAAAACATGGATAAATTTAACGACAAGTTTATCTTCTACATTAACTAGGGAAATACACAATTTACGCACTGAATGCAAGACTAAAAGGTTGTAATACCAGTGGCTCAAAATCATGGGTGATGAGGATGTTGTTTGGCCGCATGTCACGGTGCACAATGCAACCCACCCTGCATTCTTCATGAAGATATCGCAGTCCTCGAGCTGCTCCCACAGCGATCTTTTGCCGTGCAGACCATTCTAAAGGCTCACGATGTCGCCCTGAAACAGACCCAGTACCATTGTGAGTCCTCAACATAGTTTCCAGCCAAAAGTTAACAGCAAGTATGAATCAATACAGAATAAGCTTACTGTTGTCAGAAAAAGAGTTATTACTGTATAGATGAGAATCTAATGACCCATTGCAAATATATTCATAGACCAGCAATCTTCGCTTGTCCTCAATACAGAAGCCAATCAACATGACAACATTTCGGTGCTGAGCACAGCTCAGGACTTCCACTTCGGAACAAAACTCTTGATCCCCCTGGGAACTAGCCAATTTGTGTTGCTTGACAGCAACAGCCTGGCCATCTGGTAGCACCCCTCTATGAACAGAGCCAAATCCACCTTCAGCCAAAAAATTGGCTTGGGAAAATCCTCCAGTAGCAAGCTCCAGCTCCGCATAGCTGAACCACCTTGGAGGTTTTCCAAACACAGGTGCCTTGTGTTGACATATTGAACACAATGGAGGAGGGCCTGGAGGAGCATTTCTAGACAGAGAAATTGCTTCTCTCAGATTTCCACTGAACTCCATGTCAGCTCTATAATTTGGCATTCCAATTCCAGCATCCATATCGAGTTTCGAAAATTTATCTAGCAAAGCTTTGGTAGCGGATGCTTTAGAATTATCATTAGTTCTGTGTGAACTTTCTTCCATGTGTTGCGAGGATGGACGATGAGAATTAAGAAATTCTGCTATCCATGGTTGGAACCTCATACTTGCTGAAGATGTTGATAAGTTTTCACTGTCTGTGTCTGAACTACTGTCATCAAGAACCTTGTTTTCTTTACTAACTAATGATTCCTCTTTCTTCATGTCTCCATTTATTTCTGAAACGAAAAATGGTGAAGTTCCTGGATCTGAACTTGACACCGATGAAGTTCCAGCCTCGGTGGCTGTAAATGGAGTCCCTAGCTCTGGACTACTAGTTGGAGTCACAACCGGCCCTCGAATGGAATTCAAAGAGTCATTCTTCTTCTTGGGATGTTTATCAGTCCCTTCATCAAGCTGAGAAGGCAAGGAACGAGCCAATTCAGGTTCCTTCTTAGAAGATCCATTCAAATTCAAGCGAAGAACTTTTGGCTGGGAACGCTTCATAACCACGATGTTGCACTGCAGCTCTTCCATGCAGTGTTTTTCCTCATGTTTAAGATGCCTGTAAAAATCACAAACCCATCAAGATGTAGACAACGGAATGTAATTTCAAAGCAAGATCATATCTCTAATTAAGAAATCGAAGGCAATAACATGGGAAGACTACATGCTACTTCGTATCTTCCCATTCATATGGAGTTATAAACAACAAGCCTGTTTGTGCAAAGGAAGCATTACTTGTCTAAAACAACCCAACTGGCTTGAGCTTTCTTGGACTCTACAGCCACAGAACCAGAAGGTGAGCCAGAAATAATCTTTATCTTGACATTTATCTGCAACATAGTGTCAAACAAGGCATCAACAGACATGGAAATGAATATTATGAATAAGAACAGATATCGATGCACTTACCTTATTTGGATCATAAACTTCATGCAGCTGAAGGATCATCTGAGAGCAGGAATCTGAAATATCACACTTGAGCTCTGAGGTTGTTCCTGAATGTGACTTCCGGTTACCATTGGCACAGTCCCCTGCAAATCTTGGGAAGCCCCAAAATTTTCTACCTGAAAATAGGAGAATATGACTTAGTTGTCAGTATCAAAATTTTCAACAAGTAAACAAATTGTGAAAATGGAAAGAGATGCTGGATGTAGAGCTTAAAGACAAAGGTTCAGCTTCACAATTTGTCTACTAAAACTTGAGTGCAAGTGTGTTGTCGCATTAAACAACAGAGTGTTGAATTTGAATTAAACAACCAAACATCCATAAACGGCCATCATTCACTCAAATAAATTCAAATTACAGAGTAAGCTGTAGTGACAGAGTCGATGAGGACCAAGACTCACATGACCACCACGAAGTCAAATGAAACTTAATTAGAAACATACATCCAACCTCAACAACCCAGAACACTTTAAAACTTAACGGATCATAAAGTAAAACACACCAACATTCTGTTATCATTGAAAATGGGCAAAAATCTACTAGAGGCAAAGTAAAGATACCTGAACTTTGAGAGGGAACAACCACAAGCAGTGTTATGCAATCTCCAGGTTGAACAACATGAGTCAAGGCCCACACCAGAGCAGTCTTGGGAATTTCCTTGGACGCCTTAACAGCCACGACAACCTTCTCGGCGTCATCAGAGCCTTTCTCTTGCCTCACCCGCTTCTGTTCTCGACTCATTACCAAATTCTGCATCACACAAATGTTGCAAACCACCTTGCTTAAGACTTTCAATACTCAAATGCCATCAAGACCATATGCAAAGAAACATAACCGATAGAATATTTCCATAACTTGTTTAACTTTACCCCCACTGTTCTAGATTCCGAAACATGTACTACCCGACATGCAAACCATTCTCTCTAGCAGCCTAGCTGCAGCAGAGCATCAATTGACAAGACCCTTATTACCAATTCACCTAACTTCCCAAGAATCAAATTCAGAACTCCACTTGGGGTCCTCACTTTCTCTAGCTTTTGGTCACTCTCAGGCAGTGAAATCTTGGATGAAAACTCCCAGGTTGGAAGTGATAGTTTTCTAGTTCTAAATACCCTTTTGGCTCTGAAAGCAAGATATTGGTTCTCTGATTTTATTTTATTTTATTTTATTTTTAACTGTGCTATATTCTACGAGTTCTGGCGCCTAGCAAGGAGGAGAATCAAGCAGAATATGCAAAACGACAGAGGTATAGTATCACTGCTTTCGATCCTTCAAATCAACCGGTCAAAATGGTGAAACAAATAGTGCAAAAAGTAAAAGTGGCCAAATCAATGCCTCAAATAGAGCTTCAGACCTTCAGATTCCACAGGACGATGTACCCACTAAGAACAATCAAATCACCAACATGACCAAAGAGGTAGTAGAGGTTGTGAGGCTCTCATATCAGACCCCTCCAATCTCTAAAAAGCCTCCAAATCAAATCGTCTTTGCAACACACAAGCAAGACTGGACCTGCAAAATG